AATATGGCCTCTCCCCAGTGTTTCCCCAGCGGTTCCCTCAACAGCTGGGGGGACATGCAGTCCACTGGCATGGCCGCACTTTCGCTAGCTTTTTCACGGCACAAGCCTGTCCAAAAGGCAGGGGGCGGCTGCGCCTGGCTGTGTTCGATCCGCCGCTCCCGTGGGCGGCCAGAGAGGCGTTGACGTGCCCAATGAAAACACATCGGCTCCGCCACTTCCAGAAGTTCCCGGTGATGTCCAGCTCATCTCGCCAGCCGCAGAGAAATCATGCCAAGCAAGAAAGCACGTATCCAAGCTGGCCCAATGTGGCCTTAAGATGCCTCCGAGACGCTTCCATGGGCTTTTCAAACGGTTGTCGCGTTCTCGTCCTGTCGGGCTTCCGAAAGCCCAAGACGGCTCAGAAAGATACCGCCCCAAGACGGCCAAAGAACCCCCCAAGGGGGCCCCCCAACTGGCCCCAAGACGGCCGCGAGACAGCCCCCCAAGAACGCTCCAAATGTGCGCCTGGCCAGGTTTTACCAGCCTGGAACATATCCCTATCCCTATGCTGGGCACCTCCTCATCACGATGTCAATCTTAGGGATTCCCTTATTTTTTGAAGGCGAATCCCTAAGAGTGTCATCGCCTTTTGGCGTGTCAATCTAAGGGACAGGGATACGTTCGAGGCCGGTAAAGGTCGGCTGCCGGAGGTGCCGCGCGGCCCGAGGGCACCCGACGACGGCCCATGAGAACACCCCGAGGTGGCTTCAGGAGAGCCCTGGGAGCCCCCCCCACCCCCAGGCTTAGGCCGGGCATGTCCCCCTACAGGCGGATTTTGAGCGACACATAACAAAGCAGTCAGACATAGATGTATACATGAAAACAAATCTGCAAACATACTCAAATAAACTAGTCCCCAGAGTACTTTTTGTGATTTGGTTTGAATTAGGGGAACAAAAAATTGCATAAGCATAAAAACTCGGAGGTCCGCGCGGATTTCTCGGATCGGCGCTGGGGCCCCCCCGCGGCGCCTCCGGCGCCGCCCCTGGCGCGCTCCGCGCGCCAGGGAGGGGGGTCCAACGCGGATCCGAGAAATCCGTGCGGACCTCCGAGTTTTTATGTTTATGCCACTTTTGTTCCCCCATGAATATTCCTCCTGTAGAGGGACACGCCCGACTCAACCCCAGGCAGGCCCACACAGCCCGAACAGAGCTGCAAGAGCACCCCAGGACGACCGCAGAGGGCCCCTCCTCGGGGGGCCCCTCGGGAGAGGAGGTCGGCGGCGCGTCTCTGGAGGGGCGGAGGGCAGAGGGGGCGGGCCGTCTCGGAAGGCTCCCAGCTCGCTGGGCAGCTCAACCTTCCCCCGAAGGACCAGGGTCGGATGTTGCTAGAAGTACCCTGACCTTTCAGGAGGCCTAACAAAATAGCACGCGACTTAAAAACCTTTCCCAGAGCTATTATATGTCTTGGTTTTAGGCTGTTTCGTTTAGTTTTTTAGGTTTTTAGGCCTCCCGTGCTAAAAAATAGCTCTCTGGAAGGTCAGGGTACCTCTGGCCCAAGGTGCCCCCAGGATTTCCAAGGCGGCCCCCTCGGCCTTCAGGGCACCCCTCACGAGGCCCAGGGGTCCCCAGGGGCTACAAGCTGGAGCGACAAGCTGGGGGTACCTTGGGCCAGGGGCACCTTTAGCAACAGACGAACCAGGGAAACGTAAGACTCGAGTGCGCCGGAACTCGGGTCTGCCGACGCTTTTTGACGGTGCGTCCCGGACTTTGTCGGTCCACTGTTCGTGGGATGTCCTCCCAGTGGTGCCCCCCAACCGCTGGGGGAGCAGCCAGACCTCCAGCATAGCCGCACCTTCGCTCGCCATTCCACCACACATGCGCTTCCAGCAGGCGTGGGGCGGCGGTGATTCGCTGGACGCATCTACGACACTCCATCACGGAACAACCGTGGAGCATCCACGGGACAACCAATGCACCACAACTGGACGACCGCACATGACAATCGCGCAACAATCCCGGTGCAACCGCCAGAGGAACGCACGGGACAACCGCACAGAGCAGCCACACTGGACAACAGCGGAAACACGCGAAGCAATCTGACAGCAGGGACAGGTCCCTCTGTGAGGAGAACAATTAGCGTGCTGGGAGGAATGGGTTGGGAGGATGCAGGGTATGCGCAATATTATCTGGATGCAATGAACGGTACTTTCGGCAGCATACGGGCAATGATGTCCACATTTCTCCCAACACCATCCTTCCAACCTTAGGTCGGGCATGTCCCCCTACATGCGGATTTTGGAAGAAAAAACACCGCCAAAATAATCAAACAATAATGAACAATCGTACCCAGACTAGTTTTGGATTATTTACCTAACAGCGAAGACTGATAGGTTTCTAGTGGTCTCAAAAGAAAGCAGCAGATGACTCCACAGGGGGGTCCGGGCGGGACCCAGGGCGGCTGCCGTCGAACCCCAAATCGCTTGGGACATCCTCGCAAAATCGCTCTTGGCGCTGCTAGAACTCCACTCCCGGCGTACATTTTGGATGCCCGGAACCAACTGTAGGCCACTTCGCGGTCTTCGAGTTCCCAGAACTCCATTCCCGGCGTACATTTTGGATGCCCGGAGCCAACAGTAGGCCACTTCGTGGTCTTCGAGTTCCCAGAACTCCATTCCCGGGCCACATTTTGGATGCCCGGAGCCAACTGTAGGCCACTTCGTGGTCTTCGAGTTTCCAGAACTCCATTCCCGGGCCACATTTTGGGTGCCCGGAGCCAACTGTAGGCCACTTCGTGGTCTTCGAGTTCCCAGAACTCCATTCCTGGGTATGATTTTGAATGCCCGGAGCCAACTGTAGGCCACTTCGTGTTCTTCGAGTTCCCAGAACTCCATTCCCGGGCCACATTTTGAATGCTGAGGCAGGCTGATGCTGAGGCTGAGGCAGGCTGAGGCTGAGGCAGGCTGAGGCTGAGGCCGAGGCTGAAGGCAGACTGAGGCTGAGGCTGAGGCAGGCTGAGGCTGAGGCTGAGGCAGGCTGATGCTGAGGCAGGCTGAGGCTGAGGCTGAGGCTGATGCAGGCTGAGGCTGAGGCAGGCTGAGGCTGAGGCCGAGGCTGAAGGCAGACTGAGGCTGAGGCTGAAGCAGGCTGAGGCTGAGGCTGAGGCAGGCTGAGGCTGAGGCTGAGGCAGGCTGATGCTGAGGCAGGCTGAGGCTGAGGCTGAGGCTGAGGCTGAGGCTGAGGCTGAGGCTGAGGCTGAGGCAGGCTGAGGCTGAGGCCGAGGCTGAAGGCAGACTGAGGCTGAGGCTGCAGGCTGAGGCTGAGGCTGAGGCTGAGGCTGAGGCTGAGGCAGGCTGAGGCTGAGGCTGAGGCAGGCTGATGCTGAGGCAGGCTGAGGCTGAGGCTGAGGCTGATGCAGGCTGAGGCTGAGGCAGGCTGAGGCTGAGGCCGAGGCTGAAGGCAGACTGAGGCTGAGGCTGAAGCAGGCTGAGGCTGAGGCTGAGGCAGGCTGAGGCTGAGGCTGAGGCAGGCTGATGCTGAGGCAGGCTGAGGCTGAGGCTGAGGCTGATGCAGGCTGAGGCTGAGGCAGGCTGAGGCTGAGGCCGAGGCTGAAGGCAGAGGCTGAGGCTGAGGCTGAAGGCAGGCTGAGGCTGAGGCTGAGGCAGGCTGAGGCTGCAGGCTGAGGCTGAGGCAGGCTGAGGCTGAGGCCGAGGCTGAAGGCAGACTGAGGCTGAGGCTGAAGCAGGCTGAGGCTGAGGCTGAGGCAGGCTGAGGCTGAGGCTGAGGCAGGCTGAGGCTGTGACTGCGACTGCCGTTGCCACTGCGACTTTCATCGCGAATGCGACTGCGACTGCGAGAACAGTAGAATTCTACAACTGGATTCTCATGTGAATCTTAAGGGGGATGCTTCCAGATATGCTCCTACACATCGCTGTTAGGTTGCTTTGCCGGGATAATTTTGAACATTCCTCCTGTAGAGGGACAGGTCCGTCTTAATCCCAACCTGATAATTGTCTTCCCGACTCTCGAACTCGCGACACCTCGCGTCACTCGCACGCGCGACACCAAGCGATGCCGAACCGAATTTCTGGAAGGGACCCTCCCTGGGACCAGAGCTGGGGGGCTTCCGTGCCGCTTCCGCCTCAAACCCGGACCTCTGACACCCCTGGTGTGCGGCGACGGAAGTGCAATCCACGCAGCAGGGCTGGACCTAAGCGTTGTTTTTTTCGTTTTGTTTTCGCTTTGTTTTTCGTTTTGCTCTACCTGTTGTTTTCCTGTACCTCCCTGCCGACACGAAAAACAATAACACTGCCGAAGTCCAACAAAATAGCGTTTAGGTCCAGCCCGGCCACGCAACACTGCCGTTACCATTCGCGCATGCGTGGTATGTATCACGGCGAGAAGTACGCCTTGCGCTAACGAGGTGGCGTTCATTTTGTCGATGTCTCGCTGTCGAATCAACAATCTGCTGAAACCGCGTCGAGGGATGACCCGGATGTATTGTGAGAAGGAGGAGGGCCTCCGCCTCGCCTTCGGCTTGCAAGCCGCTTGCCAAGAAACGCTCCTAGGCTCGCCTGCCACGCCTGCCTCTGGCGCGGGTTCTCAGACGACCGTGCGGCATGTGTGCAGTTAGAAATGATACTGTAAGGAGCTGGCGGAAATATCCAGCCGCTCCTGGTGGGCGGCCAAATTCCCATTTCCTTGTTTCATTCCGGGGGCCCGTTCCCACTTCGTTCCAACTTCTGGGAACGCCCCCCACTTCGTTCCGGATTCCCATGTCTTCGTTCCAACTTCTTGGGTTCTTGGGTTCCTGGCGACTGCCAGGCTTCCGGGCCTCAAGAGCACAAGCACAATTACATAGGTGGTAGAGGGTCGACAGCCGAGAGTCTAAAGCAGAGTGCTGGATGCAGATATCAGGGCATACAGGCGAGAGTAGAGGGGAGACAATAGAGTGAGGGTCGAGGTTCGAATCGAGGGTTGAGGTCGAAAGATTCTGCTGTACCATCGTAGTCGTTATTTTTTGCTGATGCCTACCACAAGCATGCTGTGTGTATATGTTACGTTGACCGAGTGATTGGGCCGAGTAGTTTGTCAAGCGCGCACAAAAACAGTCATTGCAGGTGCTTCGGGGCTGCGATCAGATTGTGTCCAAAGAGCCACAGGAAAATCTGTCGACTCACACTACATTGTCAACACGCCGTGCTCCTTCGAGCACGAGGGCTGGCAACGCCCCCCGCAATACACATCAAACATGCAGAACGTTCACATACCAGTGAACTCACTTCGGGAGCGCGGGCTCATTGCGCCTTTTTGACTTTGCGCTTCGCCTTCGCCTTCGGAGATATTAGGAGTCCCTCGGCTCCCCCCAGCGGGGGCCCGGGTGCTGGCGTTTCCATGCTGTCCTCTCCGCCTGGTAGGATCGGGGAACTTGCTTAGCGACCCTCTCCTCCCCACTCACCCCTGGAGGGGGTCTAGAGTCTAGAGCGCGGGAGTGGGAAGAGGCTGAGGGAAACAGGAGGGACGAGATAGTGCAAGCAGGAGTGTCGGAACTGGAGGGGGAGAGGAGAAGGAGGTTGAGGGGGAAGCTGGAGGATGGGGGATAAGGCACCGCAGCCCTCCTACCCCCTGTTGGTGCCTCCTCCTCCTCCTTCTCCTCCTCCTCCTCCCTGCCTTCCTCCTGCATACTCCCTGCCTCCCCCTTTTTCCCCACCTTATGCCCTCCCCCCTGCCTTCGCCCACCCCTTGCCTCCTTCCCCCTCCGCGTTATTTTGTTCAATCTCTCTCTCTCTCTCTCTGCCGCATCATCCTCCTCCACTATTCTTCCCATTCCCCTCCTTCTCCTTCTCCACCTCCTCCTCCCTCCTCCTCCTCTTCCTCCTCCTCCTCCTCCCCCTCCTCCTCTTTCCCCTCCTCCTCCTCCTCCTCCTCTCCTCCCCCTCCTCCTCCTCCTTCTTATTATTATTATTATTATCCTCCTCCTCCTCCTGTTCCTCCTCCTTCTCCCCCCCTCCTTTCTCTCGTCGTCGTCCTCCTCTATTTCCTCCTCCTCCTCCTCCTCCTCCTCCTCCTCCTCCTCCCCCTCCTCCTTCTCCTCTCCTCCTCCTCGTTATCCTCCTCCTCCTCCTGATTCCCCTTTTTCTCCTCCCCCTCCGCCTCCACCTCCACCTCCACTCCGCCTCCGCCTCCGCCTCCTCCTCCTCCTCGTCCTCCTCCCTCTCCTCCTCATACATCCGTCTTTCCCCCCCTCCGCCTTCTCTGTTTCTTCTTATTACCTAACAGCGAAGACTGATAGGTTTCTAGTTGACTCAAAAGAGCTCACAGATCACTCCACAGGGGGGTCCGGGCAGGCGTTGGGAGTTGCCGGCCGGGCCTGTGCCGGGCTCGTTTTTCACCAACAGTCACACACTTCGTGCTCGTCGACCTCTCAGAACCCATTCCCAGGCCACATTCTGAATAACCGGATGCAACTGTAGGCCACTTCGTGCTCTTCCATTTCCCAGAACTCCATTCCCGGGCCACATTTTGGATGCCCGGAGCCAACTGTAGGCCACTTCGTGCTCTTCGATTTCCCAGAACTCCATTCCCGGGCCACATTTTGAATGCCCGGAGCCAACTGTAGGCCAATTCGTGCTCTTCGACTTCCCAGAACTCCATTCCCGGGCCACATTTTGAATGCCCGGAGCCAACTGTAGGCCACTTCGTGGTCTTCGAGTCCCCAGAACTCCATTCCCGGGCCACATTTTGAATGTCCGGAGCCAACTGTAGGCCACTTCGTGGTCTTCGACTTCCCAGAACTCCATTCCCGGGCCACATTTTGAATGCTGAGGCAGGCTGAGCTGAGGCTGAGGCAGGCTGAGGATGAGGCAGGCTGAGGCTGAGGCCGAGGCTGAAGGCAGACTGAGGCTGAGGCTGAAGCAGGCTGAGGCTGAGGCTGAGGCAGGCTGAGGCTGAGGCTGAGGCAGGCTGATGCTGAGGCAGGCTGAGGCTGAGGCTGAGGCTGATGCAGGCTGAGGCTGAGGCAGGCTGAGGCTGACGCCGAGGCTGAAGGCAGACTGAGGCTGAGGCTGAAGCAGGCTGAGGCTGAGGCTGAGGCAGGCTGAGGCTGAGGCTGAGGCAGGCTGCTGAGGCAGGCTGAGGCTGAGGCTGTGACTGCGACTGCCGTTGCCACTGCGACTGTCATCGCGAATGCGACTACGACTGCGAGAACAGCAGAATTCTACAACTGGATTCTCATCTGAATCTTAAGGGGAATGCTTTCCAGATATCCCCTCTACACATCGGCCGTTAGGTTGCTTATTGCCGTGATAATGTATCTTTTTACTAACAGCTTTTGCTGATAGGTTTCTAGAGGACTCAAAAGAAAGCATTCTGATGCACTCCACCAGGGGGGGTCTGGGCGGGTGCCGGGAAAAGAACCGGGACAGAGCCGGGCCTTGTTCATAAAGCCAACAGTCCCACACTTCGTGCTCTTCTATTTCCCAGAACTCCATTCCCCGGGCCACATTTTGGATGCCCGGAGCCAACTGTAGGCCACTTCGTGCTCTTCGACTTCCCAGAACTCCATTCCCGGGCAACATTTTGGATGCCCGGAGCCAACTGTAGGCCACTTCGTGCTCTTCGACTTCCCAGAACTCCATTCCCGGGCCACATTTTGATGCCCGGAGCCAACTGTAGGCCACTTCGTGCTCTTCGAGTTCCCAGAACTCCATTCCTGGGCATGATTTTGAATGCCCGGAGCCAACTGTAGGCCACTTCGTGTTCTTCGAGTTCCCAGAACTCCAGTCCTGGGCATGATTTTGAATGCCCGGAGCCAACTGTAGGCCACTTCGTGGTCTTCGAGTTCCCAGAACTCCATTCCCGGGCCACATTTTGAATGCTGAGGCAGGCTGATGCTGAGGCTGAGGCAGGCTGAGGATGAGGCAGGCTGAGGCTGAGGCCGAGGCTAAAGGCAGACTGAGGCTGAGGCTGAAGCAGGCTGAGGCTGAGGCTGAGGCAGGCTGAGGCTGAGGCAGGCTGAGGCTGTCTTGAAACGCGGCTTGAGGGGCTGAGGCAGCAGCAGGGCTGGAGTCTAGGCAGACTGAGGCTGAGGCCAAGGCTGAAGGCAGACAGAGGCTAGAGGCTGAAGCAGGCTGAGGCTGAGGGCGAGGCTGAGCTGATGCAGGCTGAGGCTGAGGCTAGAGGCAGGCTGAGGCTGAGGCGAGGCAGGGCAGAGTCGAGGCAGCCTGAGGCTGCGGCAGGCTGAGCCGAGGCTGATGCAGGCTGAGGCTGAGGCGGAGGCTGAAGGCAGAGATGCTGAGGCTGGCAGCGAGGCCTGAGGCTGAGGCTGAGGCTGAGGCTGAGGGCTGGCTGATGCTGAGGCAGGCTGAGGCTGAGGCTGAGGCGATGCAGGCTGAAGCTCAGCAGGGTGAGGCTGACGGCAGCTGAGGCTGAGGCTGAGGCTGAGGCTGAGGCTGCAGGCTGAGGCTGAGGCTGAGGCTGAGGAGGCTGAGGCTGAGGCTGAGGCAGGCTGAGGCTGAGGCTGAGGCAGGCTGAGGCTGAGGCTGAGGCTGATGCAGGCTGAGGCTGAGGCAGGCTGAGGCTGAGGCCGAGGCTGTAGGCAGAGGCTGAGGCTGAGGCTGAGGCCGAGGCAGGCTGAGGCTGAGGCTGAAGCAGGCTGAGGCTGAGGCTGAGGCTGAGGCTGAGGCTGAGGCAGGCTGAGGCTGAGGCTGTGACTGCGACTGCCGTTGCCACTGCGACTGTCATCGCGAATGCGACTACGACTGCGAGAACAGCAGAATTCTACAACTGGATTCTCATCCGGATCTTAAGGGGAATGCTTCCAAATATGCTCCTACACATCGCTGTTAGGTTGCTTTGCCGGGATAGTTTACCTAACAGCGTTTGCTGATAGGTTTCTAATAGGGTCAAAAGAGAGCATCATGACTCCTCAAGGGGGTCTGGGCGGGTGCCGGGGAGGAGAACCGGGAATCGTTTTTCGCCAACAGTCACACACTTCGTGCTCTTCGACCTCCCAGAACTCCATTCCCGGGACACATTCTGGAGAACCGGGAACAGAGCCGGGCTCGCTTTTTCGCCAACAGTCACACACTTCGTGCTCTTCGACCTCCCAGAACTCCATTCCCGGGCCACATTTTGAATGCCCGGAGCCAACTGTAGGCCACTTCGTGGTCTTCGAGTCCCAGAACTCCATTCCCGGGCCACATTTTGATGCCCGGAGCCAACTGTAGGCCACTTCGTGCTCTTCGACTTCCCAGAACTCCATTCCCGGGCCACATTTTGGATGCCCGGAGCCAACTGTAGGCCACTTCGTGCTCTTCGAGTTCCCAGAACTCCATTCCCGGGCCACATTTTGAATGCCCGGAGCCAACTGTAGGCCACTTCGTGGTCTTCGAGTTCCCAGAACTCCATTCCCGGGCCACATTTTGAATGCTGAGGCAGGCTGATGCTGAGGCTGAGGCAGGCTGAGGCTGAGGCTGAGGCTGAGGCTGAGGCCGAGGCTGAAGGCAGACTGAGGCTGAGGCTGAAGCAGGCTGAGGCTGAGGCTGAGGCAGGCTGAGGCTGAGGCAGGCTGAGGCTGAGGCTGAGGCAGGCTGAGGCTGAGGCTGCGACTGTGACTGCCGTTGCCACTGCGACTGTCATCGCGAATGCGACTACGACTGCGAGAACAGCAGAATTCTACAACTGGATTCTATTCTGAATCTTAAAGGGGAATGCTTCCAGATATGCTCCTACACATCGCTGTTAGGTTGCTTTGCCGGGATAATCTTATGATCATTAGTATTACTATTGTTATTATTCAATTATTCCCAACCATCCTGTGGTGTTGGGTCCTCGTTTTGAAGAGACGTCGCCCCGCGTTCCTCCTCCTCCTTCCTCCTCCTCCCCTTCCTCCCCCCTCCTCCCCCTCCCACACCCATTCTGGCACACCCCTCACACGCTTCGTGGCCCCATAGGGAGCTCCACCGGGAGCTCCTGGCCCCATGCGTGGCGCTCCACCGAAGGCCCCATGCTGCGCCCGCATGCCACCCCCCATTCTGGCACACCCCTCACACGTTTCGTGGCCCCATAGGGAGCTCCACCGAAGGCCCCAGTGGCTGCGCCCGCATGCGGTTCCACCCCCCATTCTGGCACACCCCTCACACGTTTCGTGGCCCCATAGGGAGCTCCACCGAAGGCCCCAGTGGCTGCGCCCGCATGCGGTTCCACCCCCCATTCTGGCACACCCCTCACACGTTTCGTGGCCCCATAGGGAGCTCCACCGAAGGCCCCAGTGGCTGCGCCCGCATGCGGTTCCACCCCCCATTCTGGCACACCCCTCACACGTTTCGTGGCCCCATAGGGAGCTCCACCGAAGGCCCCAGTGGCTGCGCCCGCATGCGGTTCCACCCCCCATTCTGGCACACCCCTCACACGTTTCGTGGCCCCATAGGGAGCTCCACCGAAGGCCCCAGTGGCTGCGCCCGCATGCGGTTCCACCCCCCATTCTGGCACACCCCTCACACGTTTCGTGGCCCCATAGGGAGCTCCACCGAAGGCCCCAGTGGCTGCGCCCGCATGCGGTTCCACCCCCCATTCTGGCACACCCCTCACACGTTTCGTGGCCCCATAGGGAGCTCCACCGAAGGCCCCAGTGGCTGCGCCCGCATGCGGTTCCACCCCCCATTCTGGCACACCCCTCACACGTTTCGTGGCCCCATAGGGAGCTCCACCGAAGGCCCCAGTGGCTGCGCCCGCATGCGGCCCGCATCACACCTCCACCCCCCATTCTGGCACACCCCTCCACCGAAGGCCCCGTGGCTTGCGTGGCCCCATAGGGAGCTCCACCGAAGGCCCCAGTGGCTGCGCCCGCATGCGGTTCCACCCATTCTGGCACCCCTCACGTTCGTGGCCCCATAGGGGCTCCACCGAAGGCCCAGTGGCTGCGCCCGCATGCGGTTCCACCCCCCATTCTGGCACACCCCTCACACGTTTCGTGGCCCCATAGGGAGCTCCACCGAAGGCCCCAGTGGCTGCGCCCGCATGCGGTTCCACCCCCCATTCTGGCACACCCCTCACACGTTTCGTGGCCCCATAGGGAGCTCCACCGAAGGCCCCAGTGGCTGCGCCCGCATGCGGTTCCACCCCCCATTCTGGCACACCCCTCACACGTTTCGTGGCCCCATAGGGAGCTCCACCGAAGGCCCCAGTGGCTGCGCCCGCATGCGGTTCCACCCCCCATTTCGGCACACCCCTCACACGCTTCGTGGGTGGCTCCATGGGGAGCTCCACCGAACGCCCCAGTGGCTGCGCTCGCATGTGGTTCTCCCCCCATTTCGGCACACCCTCACACGGTTCGTGGCCCCATAGAGAGCTCCACCGAAGGCCCCAGTGGCTGCGCTCGCATGCGGTTCCACCACCTTTTTTCGGCACGCCCTTCACACGTCTCGTGGCCCCATAGGGAGCTCCACCGAACGCCGCAGTGGCTGCGCTCGCATGCGGTTCCACCCCCCATTTCGGCACACCCCTCACACGTTTCGTGGCTCCATAGGGAGCTCCACCGAAGGCCCCAGTGGCTGCGCTGGCATGCGGTTCCACACCCCATTCTGGCACACCCCTCGCACGTTTCGTGGCCCCATAGGGGGCTCCACCAAAGGTCCCAGTGGCACTGCCCGCTTGCGTCCGCCACCACCCAGCACAGCCCTTGTTCCCTGCGCTTCACCCACCCAGAACAGCGCTTCGTAGCCCTATAGGGAGCTCCACCAAAGGTCCCAGCGGCACCGCCCGCATGCGTCCGCCACCACCCTGCGCAGCCCTTGCTCCCTGCCTGCGTTTCACCCACCCAGTACAGCGTTTCGTGGCCCCATAGGGAGCTCCACCGAAGGTCCCAGTGGCACCGCTCGCATGCGTCCGCCACCACGCAGCATAGCCTTTGCTGACCGCGTCTCACCCACCCAGTACAGCGTTTCGTGGCCCCATAGGGAGCTCCACCGAAGGTCCCAGTGGCACCGCCCGCATGCGTCCGCCACCACCCAGCACACTTGCGGCATTCACAACTGCACATGGTTGGGTCCCTTCGCCCGGCTAATTATTTCTATTTTAGCAGTTTCTCATTACTGATATTATTCTTACTATTCGTATTCGTAGTAGTCGTATTATCATTTAGTCGTATGAATAGTTTTCTTACTAGTAATGTTATTAGTATTATTATGTTTATTCTTAGTATTAACATTATTATTTTTCTTATTCTTACCATTATTACTAGTATTATTATTATTGTTGTGTTTGTTGTTGTTGTTGTTGTTGTTGTTGTTGTTGTTATTGCTGTTGTTGTTGGTGGTGTTTTTGTTGTTGTTGTTTTTGGTATTTTTATTGTCTTATTATTCTTAGTATTACCATCGTGTTTACCATCATCATCTTTTAGCACTACTAGTATTTTAAATAGTATTCCTCCTCCTCCTCCTCCTCTACCTCCTTCTACTTCTTCGTCTTCTTCTGCTGCTGCTCCTCCTCCTCCTCCTCCTCCTCCCCTCCTCCTCCTCCTCCTCCTCCTCCTCCTCCTCCTCCTCCTCCTCCTCCCCCTCCTTCTACTTATTCGTCTTCTGCTGCTCCTCCTCCTCCTCCTCCTCTTCCTCCGCCTCCTCATCCGCCTCCACCCGCTTCTGCCTCCGCCGCCTCCTCCTCCTCCTCCTCCTCGTCCTCATACATCCGACCTTCCTCCCTCCGCCTTCTCTTCTTATTTTTCTTTTGTTTCTTCCTCCTCCTCCTGCGCCTTCTGTTCTTCCTCGTCCTCCTCCTCCTTCCACTCCTTCTCCTCCTCGTGCTTCCATTCCTTCCCTATTCTCCCCTGCCTCGGGGGAGTGGGGGGCAGACAACGGGGAGGAATATGGGGCTGGGAGGAAGACGCGGAAGGGAGGAGGATTGAGGAGGGGGGAAGAAAGGGGTGAATGCTTCAGCCGTGTGCATGTTTTCACCCGTGGCCTGTCGCGCCGGGAGAAACAGATGCACTTCGAGTGCCAGGGCCACCGGCCGGCTTGACCTTTTTCTTCTTGTTCGGCTTCTCCGCGGCCCAAGACAGGGCGTCCTCATCCCTCGCCTTCCTTCGCCCTTCCTCATCCATCGCCCTCCCTGCTTCGCCCTCCCTCGCCGACTCCTTTCCCTCTCTCGCTCTCCCTCGCCCTCCATCGCTTTCCTTCGCCCTCCTTCGCCGTCTCTCCTCCCTCCTCCCTGTGCCCCCCTGTTGCTCCTGAAACCCTGGAGCGCGTAGCGCTGGCCATGTTCATCAGAACACTGGTATGTCCATAAACAAGGGTGCAGCAAGACATGGCAACTTGTCCTAATGCTTGATGGTTGACATACATGACGTACATGAGACCGAACAAGGCTCCTCAAGCCATTCCGTGGCGTATACTTCGCCCTAGATCTGACTGAAGAAAACCATTGGACACCTGCTGGCTTAGGCGAGCTGCCTATCCAAAGGAATTTCTGAAGTCAGTAGTTCAGCGACCTCCAGAGCCGCCTTCCATAAGAACAACTGCCCTGCGACGTACCCAGCCCATTTTCAACAACTGAGAAGAACCGTTGGCCAACATGATCACGGCGATGACATGGCAACGTGCCGTCAACTGTCGCGGAAGCTGCATTGGAGGCGCACGCGTTGTGGGACTTACACAAACCACCGATAAGAAGGCGAGGCGGCCCGCGAGTATGGAAGTCTAGTTCCAGATCCCCGGCCCCCGCAGCATCCTGGATCCTTCGACATTCTTGGCCTTCGAAGTCATCGCGTGGAGACGCAGCCACAGTTCGTCCAGGTCGTCCGCGTTCTTGCGCCCGGTGTCCTAAGCAGCCTTCGAAAGTGGCGACGGTTTCACACTTCGCAGCCCCCAAGGAATGGCGAAATCTGATCTTGGTCCGCGCCTGGTACCTACTCTGCTGCCCGCCCAGCAGCCCTCAACACTTGGCGAGAGCTTCTCACTGCGAGAGCTGGCGAAGTCAAATCAGACTCCACGCCTGGTGCGCACCAAGGATGGCGAGGACCGAATTGAGATCCCCGCCTGGCACCTACTATGCTGCCTCCCCAGCAGCCCTCGAAAGTGGCGACAATTTCGAAGTGCGCAGCCCCTCAGGGACGGCGAAGTCTAATATGATTCCGCGCCTGGTACCCACTATGCTGCCCCCCCAGCAGCCTTCCAAAGTGGTGGCAGTTTCGTGCTGGGCAGCCCCCAAAGCAGTCGACTTCGGCGCCTGCCGTCAGGGTTCCGCCCCTGCACGGACCAGAGCTTCGAGCTCCTCGGGGCGCCGGTCGGAGACGACGGGCCTCTGCGGCGCAGGGGCCCGTGGACGCGCTGGAAGACCCTCAGGTCGCCTTGCACCTCCTTCTGCAAGTTGGGCCATGGCGCGACGGCGGTGCCGCCCGCTGCGTGCGCGGCGGCATTGCAGGCAATGGGCGACGGGGCCCAAGCTTACCTTGAGCAGGTGTCTGGTTGCCCGCCCACCGTTGCGTCCTGGCGGCAGGCGCAACTCGAGCTGCGCAAGGGGTGCCTAGGCTTGCCCTCGGCCGAGCAGCGCATGGCCGCCGCCTGCGTGGCTTCCCGGGCCGCGCAGCACGACCCGGGCCGCACTGACGAGGCAGGGCGCGACGGGGGGGCGCTCGCGAACGCCGTGCAAGCGCGCGACGCACGCGTCTCCGACGGGGACAAGCCGGCGTTCGACCCGGAGCAGCACGGCAACCAGCAGCGACTCAGCGACGCCGTTAACGACGCGGCGCTCGCCAACCTCCAGGCAAATACCTCGGTAGCCACGCGCCTCAACCTGCTCCAGGCGCCCGCCGCTAGCGCCTTCCTTCAGGCGCCGCCCTGCGACGCCGAGGGCGCCGTCTTCCAGCGCGGCCTCTTACAGGTAACGGTCCAGCGACGACTCCGAGTCCAGCGCCTCGACCAGGAGGGCTCTTGTTCCGCTTGCGGAGAAGTGATGGACGCGCAGCTAGACCACTCCATTGCCTGCTCTTGCCGCGGCGACAAGACGAAACGCCGCGAAGCTCCCGATAACCAGGGGCCCTTCGACGCGCGAGCGGCGGGCTTCGCGGGGGCGGACCTGGGCGCCTGCGACAGGCGCCCCAATGGCGCCCACTTGCCCGGGTGGCGCAAAAGGGTGACAGCGGCCTGGAGCTTCCTCGCCACATCCGGGCTGCGCGCCGACCTCCTCGCTGCTTCGGTTGCGTCCTGCGCGACTGCGGAGCGGCACGAATAATGCAATCGGCAGCGCCTGGACACCGAGCGCCCGTGCGCGGCGCAGAGCCTCACCTTCATGCCTATTGCGGTAGAGGCCCGCAGTGGCGGGTGGGGGCGCGAGGCCAGGATAACCTTTGCGATCTTGACCAAGCGGGTGGCTCACGCTAACAAGGAGGACGCCGCCCTAGTGGCGGACTGGCACCCCCGCCGACTTTCAGTCTCCCTTCACCGGGAGAACGCGCGGACGGTGTTGCGGCGGCTGCAGCCGTCGACAGGGGCGCGTGCTGCGCGCCATGCGGCGGCCGCGGCTGGCGCCGTTAGAGTCGCCGCCAGCGCCGCTTTGCGCCCCCCCCTTCCCCCCGCCCATGCTGATGGCGGCGAGGGTGACCCCTTGCAAGGGGGCGGGGTGGGCGGGCTCCAGTCAGGCGGGTGGCGCGACCCGAACGGGCCCCTGCTGCCCAAGCGTCGTCGCGGCAGCCCCCCCCCCTCCCAGGGTCATCGCCGGTCCCGGGCCGCCCCCGCCAGCAGCTGCCGCGTTGCCCCTGGCGCACCCGCATGATTTGCTGCACATCAGGGCCAACCCATCGTGGGCTGCGAAACTGGAACATAGCAGATCACAAGTCAGCCTGCAGACCATATCCAAAGACATCATAATAACGTAATCGTTCAGTCAAGGCACTCCTAGGTTCGCGACAAACTCGCCCGCCCAATAGAACATGAAAGATCACAAAACAGGCCCTCGCCGCACCCCCCGCCGCCGCCGCCAGCAGCAGCCGCGCTGCTCCCGATCGACGCGCCCGCGCCTGCCGCGCTCGCGTCCGCCCCGATGGCCGCCCCCGACGACCGCCTCCGCCTCTGCTCCCCGCCGTTTGCCTGCTTCCCTGCTGCCTGCGGTTGTTGCTGCCGCCCTCCCTCTTCTCGCCCTCCCTAGACGCGCGCATGAACATGCGCAAATCCCAGGGTGCCAGAGGCGTGCTAAGATCTCCGGTGGCTGGACATGTATATTCTAATTCGCGCGCGCGGGGCCGCCCTGGGGGCCCCCGGCCGAGAGATGACCCCCGGGCCCCCTGGCAAGGTTCCAGCGCGTTTCGGGCAAGGTCCTGGCAGACTCGGATCAGAAATGGTTTTGCTCCCGGGGGCGGTTTTCGGGGCCCTCCAGATCGCCCCAGGAGCGGCCCAAGGAACCTCGAGGCAACTCCAAAAGGGCACGCGAATCGGAATCGCGGCCCAAGAACGCTCCAAGATGCCCGAGATGGCGCCAAGACAGCCCACGAGGCCCCAAAGAAGCTCCAAGAGCGCTCCAATTGGACCCCAAAGAAAGCCCTAATAAGCAACAATCATGAATTCTCCGTGTGTTTATATGTGTTTCTCGGGTTCTTGCGTTTTCGGGCTTCCGACGCTCCAAGATTGCCCCAGGAGCCCCCAGGGCCGCCCCGAGACGGCGCGAGAAGCCCCCAAGAGGACCCCAAGACGGTCCACGAAGGCCCCCAAACGGCCCCAGAAGCGCCCAATATCACCCAAGAGGTCCAAAGACGGCCCACGGACGCCCCGAGAGGCCTCCAATTGAACCCAGGAGGCTCCCCCTGGAGGCCCCACGAGGCCCCTGAGAGGCCTGAGAGGAAGCCCCAAGAGGCTTTTTTTTCTCCTCCCCCAAGCCTCCAGCGGATCCCGCCAAGAGGCCCGTTCGCCGCACTCGGCGGCCGCCGTCAGGCCGCGCGGGCCTCCTCTAGCTCTTGGCCCCGCACGTAGTACATGTGGCCCAGCTGGACCTCGCCGCCGACGGCGCCGCGAAAAGTGCCAGGCTCCGTCGCCATGTTCAGGAGGCTGGCCTGGATTGCCTCTGGGCTGCGCCGCCATCGTACATGTCCCGCACGTGGTGTAAGATGCCCCGCAGCAGCCCCAGTAGGCCGCATCCAACACGCGGCGACATACCCTCCCGTTGCCAAAGCAAGGCGGAAGAGCCCTCGTCCTGACATTGCCCAGCTATCCACGACGCCCTGGCAGCTGCATCTCGTCCTCCAGGGGCTTCCCCGTCTGTGGATGCTTGCCCGCCAGTGTCCTGTCGCGCATCCTCCTCTTGGCGTCGGCATTGCTGCTCGCGCCCCGCTTGGCCAGCGGGCCTGGGAATGCCATCCCTAGCCTCGCCCTCCGCCTCGCAGAGTGTGTGCCGCACGCCGCGCGCCCCACGTGCGGCCCATGCACTTCCACTCGGTGTCCCCGTTCACGCTGTGAATCCTCTGCTGCTGGGCCCCGCCTGTGCTGGTCGTCGGCAGTTGCCGCTGCTGTTGCGGCTGCGGTGGCTGCCGCCGCGATGGCCGCCTTCGCCTCTGACGAACTGGCCGCGCCCGTCGCCCTGCTCCCAGTAGATCTCCACCAGGGCAATTGGCACTCGGACTCCCGCATCTTCCTCTTCATCCGCTTCGTCGCGCCCCTTCTTTCGCATCTCATGCAGACCACCCAGCCGTTCAACATCTCCACGTGGTGCTTGGTGAGCGCTATCTGCGGCTTGATCTCCTTGCGCACAGGTCGTCCGCGATCCTTCTTCGGCACGTCTGGCCACTCACCCGCCATCTGCTGATGCCGCCGCCCGATGTTCTGCAGCGCCCGGCGCACTCGGCATGCCAGGCCCGCAATGGCCTGGCGCCTCCCGAAGTTGGCATCCAGCTCAGCCCCCGCTTTGGCTAACACGTCAACTTCAGCGCTGCCCTTTGCGATCTGGAGCCCGTCGCCCTCCAGCTGCTCGGTCCTGGCCATGTACCCGTGCGCTTTGACGTGGCAGACCGCGCTAACATTCAAATCCACGTCGTTGATCTTGTTCCAGATGCGCTTCCAGATGCCCGCGCGCGGCCTTCTC